CTCACTGGCTTTGTCCATTTGACTGTCATTAGGCATGGCTCTGTGAAGCAAAATACCAGCTTCCTAACATTGCCATTTGGTCTCCAGCAGTATCAAAGCAATCCCTTAAAACAGAATTGTTTTTCTACCAGGAAAAAAAAAGGGAGAAATTGCTGGTTTTTCTTTCAGAGCATCTTACTCCAATTTATACTTAATGGGCCTGGTTGCATTCTTTCTTCCTTCAATTTTGGAGCACCAACTTTGCCAGTCCACGGCTTCTCTTTCATTAAAAACCCAATGAAATCATCCTAAAACTCTCATCGTGATGGGTCCATTGTCTATCAAAAAGTATGACACTTTCATAGTATCCAATTAAATAGCACTTCCCAGTATCTCTATAAAGGAAAAGCCACTGCAGGTACCAGTTTATGGACAGGATAAAGTTACATTGTATGTATGTATGTATGTATATCTAATTTAGAGACTGCCCATCTCACTTGCAGAGCAACCCCGGGTGGAGTACAATTAACAAGTTGGAGGAAGCTTCTTAGTTCAAGTGGTCTGTAATTATCTACCAGCAGCTTATCTGTCAGAACTAGATCACAGGGTGATTGTACAAAATAATTCAGGAAAGCCAAAGAAACGATCCCCATACAAATGAGTTACAAACATTTGGGTAATCTTTCCTGCTTTCAGATTACTTCTCATGAGTCTGCTGCATCCCTTAACCACAAAGACATTCTGCATTCTGCTTCAAAATAAACTGCTGGAGCCCAGGAACACATATAGGTAGTCCTTGACTTATGAACATAACCCGGTCCAAAATTTCCATTGCTAAGCAAGGCAATAGTTAAGTGACCTTTATGACACAGTTGGTAAGCAAATCTCTGCAGTTGTTAAGTGAATCATACTGTCATTGAGCAAACCTCGTTTCCACCATTGACTTTGCTTGTTTGCTTGAGGGTTACAAATGGTGATCACGTGACCCTGGCACAGTGCAATATCATAGATACCAGTTGCCAAGCACCCCAATTTTGATCATGTGACCATGGAGGTGTTTCAACTGACCTATGTATGACTGCATTCCCACTCACGCTAGTAATACTATTGCTAAATTTGCAGATGATACAACAGTGGTGGGACTTATCTTGGGGGAGGGATGAGTCTGCCTACTGAGATGAGGTGGACTGGTTGCTTTCGTGGTGTGGAGACAATAACTTGATCCTCAACACCAATAAGATCAAGGAGCTTATAGTGGATTATAAAAGGAACAGATTAGACATCCAGCCCTTGTTTATCAATGGAGACCGAGTGGAGCAAATGGCCAATTTTATGCTTTCTGGGTGTTACCCTAAAAGAGGACCTGACCTGGGGTGCCCACATTGCAGCCCTGGTCAAAAGGGCCCAGCAGAGATTATACTACTGAGACTTCTCAGAAAACAACTGAATGAAAAACTGGTGGTGACCTTCTACCGCTGCACCATAGAGAGCATTTTAACATACTGCACCTCTGTATGGTTTGCCAATTGCACAGTGGCAGATAGGAAAGCACTCCAGAGGGTTAACGTCATTGCCCAGAAGATCACTGGTTGCCCTCTCCCCTCTTTGGAAGAGCTTTATAGCTCCCGCTGCCTTAAGAAAGTTCAAAATATTCTCAAAGATACATCTCATCCTGGGAACCCTTTTTTGAACTATTACCATCTGGCAGACTAAAAACAAGGACAAATAGGCCAAAAACAGCTTCTATCCCAAGGCAGTAGCTGTTTTGAATTCTGCTGTACAGTGTTGGTGTGGTGTCGAGGGTTTCCGGTTCATTGTGTGAAGGGTAAAGGATGTGTGTTTATTTTCATGGTCATGATGTGCACTGAAGATGGTGTTTGATTTCATTGTAGACGTGCAATGACAATAAAAAAAGTAAAGTAAGTATGAAAATTAGTCATGACACTTTTTTTCATGTTTTGCTTCTCATCCAAGAAACTTCTTCAGTTCAGTTTAGAACTGAACTGAATAGAAATAGAACTTAATAGAAAATCTCCATAAACAATTAGCAAGAGGAATAATAAACTACAGGGAGTCCTCAAGTTATAAATGTAATGGAGTATGACAATTACATTCGTAACTCGAGGATTTGTTGGAGTGAATCACATAAAACGAGCGTGAAAACTCCCTGCTTTCACCCATGCATTCAATAATCAAATGCACGGCTCATTTAAGTGCACATGAAATACTCAGGATGGGAAAGGCCATTGGGGGGGGGCTAGTGATGGAACAGGCCACCTGCTTAAGACCACCCAAGGCCTCCCCCAATCCACTAAGACAGTGATCCCCAACCTTTTTGACGCTGCGGCCCGGTACCGGCATCAGCTGGGCGCCGCGGCCCGGTACCGGCATCAACTGGGCGCCGCCATCTTTTTTTGACGAAAAAGTGCTTCCGGTGACCTCACCGGAAGCACTTTTTCGTCAAAAAAGATGGCGGCGCCAAGCAACCAGGGGCCTGGTAAGACTTGTTCCGCGGACCGGTACCGGTCCGCGGACCGGCGGTTGGGGACCCCTGCACTAAGATACCTCATGTTCCCCTCAATTGCTTCCCTTTCCCATTCTGCCACACCAGGTCAGGTCACTTACCTGGCAACGATCTAGTGAGCTGTCACCTCTACAGCCTCTCTACCGCGCAAGATCACAGAACTTCCAGTATTGATGCGCAAAACGTTTGCATGTCAATGGGACGCTTTCAGGCAGTGTGAAGCGTCCCATTGGCTTGCAAACAGTTTGGGCGCCTAGACTAGAAGCTTCTGGGGGCCGTGATCTCATGCGACTTCAGGTACTCTTTCTCTGCAAAAGTGGGTGAGTGCTTGAAGTCACGCAAGATCACAGCCCCCAGAAGCTTCCAGTCTTGGCACCCAAACTGTTGGCAAGCCGAAGGGAGGCTTTGGTTCAGTGAAATTGCGCTGCCTCAAAGCGTCCCATCAGCTTGCAAAACACTTTGGTAAGCCTTTGCCAGCAAGAACAGAGCCCGTGAGAGATGTGTCGGCCCTGCTTGGGCTCCATTCTTGCCGGCAAAGGATTTTTGAAAAGGTTTGCCAAAGCCTACAGGAAGATTGCATCCCCGTAGGTTCTGGTGGTCTTTGCAAAAAGCCTTTGTCGGCAAGAAAGGGGTGGGCGTGGGGAACTGCCATAACTCAAGGATTACCTGTAGTTAGAAAGAAGTCCTTTCTACATAATATAAACCTACATATTATACACACACACACACTCACAATCTTTCACACAAAAATAGCAATTATATGTGAATGAATGTTAGATAAAACTTAGTTACACTGTTTACACATAAAAAGGATGTGTGCTGTTGAACTGTCATGCTTGAAAGTATTTATATTCCAGTAAAATGGTATACAGGAAAGTTTTAGAATAATTGCATTAGCAACGAAAATAATAATCTGCCTAGAGAGAAGCCCTTTCTAAATAATGTAAGAGTGCACTATATACACAGACCCACACAATGTCTCATAACATTTATCGCATAATGTATGTGGAAGAATGTTAGGTAAACCTTAGTTACACTGTTTACACATAAAAGAGCTTGTGTACTATCGAACTGCTATGCTTGAAAGTATTTACATATAGTTCCAGTGAAAATGATATACAGGAAAGTTTTACAACATTTGCATATGAACAATTTAACCCATATGAAATTATAATGTAATTTTTCCCTTCAAATGTTTTAAGCCCAAAGACTTTGTGATATTTATACAGTAATAACGTAGGATTAATGTAGGTTCAAATTTCAACTCACAATCTTTAAAGCAATTTAGAAAAGGTTAAGAAAAACACCAGCGAATCCTCATCTTGCACAGACTTGCAAAATATCTTTAATAGTCTTAAAGATTTCAGAGAAACAGAAATCTATGAAATCAAACTGAAACTTCAATTCATCAGGCTGATTTGATCTGCCAGAACTTCAACACTTTTCATTACTGCATATGCACACACACACACACACAAGCAATCTAGAAAGTCCCACAGTCAAATGTAGCATTGAAAAGAAATATGAAAATCTACTACCAGAGCTGGAGCAGGGTAAAGAGTGAACCAAAGAGAAAACCAAAACTCTCCTTGCTCCAATTCGGTCCCCCACCTAGCTCCAAAAGCCTCGCGCTCATTTCTACTTTACACCGGAGTGGCCACCGAAGAGTAAGCCAAGTTTTTAACTCCTAAAAAATAAAAAAAAATAAAACCACGCAAGGAATCTATTCCAAAGCCTATAAATAACTCTGGGAAAGAAAGCGAAAGGAGCCTGGATCAAGCGTGGCAAAGAGCCAACGTCGCTGCTCTACCTCAGACGCCTTATTCCCAGACCGCGGCTGCAAAACGGCGTAGATAAGTTGCAGTCGTCGAAGGCGCCGCTATATATTTCTACCTCTCGGTGAAAAATCTCGTTCGGATTTCTAAGGGGTGGCCCCGTCGACCTGACCGTCGGGGGTGGAGGGGAAACGATATTCCGAGGTTACTCCTACTACGGCTTTCTCTGGAAGAACCACAGTGCCGGAGGCCCCAAACAACAACCACGACAACGAAACTTGTCAAGTCACGGCTGTAAAACTCGCGGCCTTGGAGCAAACCTTTTGCTCGCGCGCAATGCTGGAAGGCAAAAGCAAACCCGGCTGCGCGGAGAGGAGCTTGCAGCGCAGTTTCCTGCGCTCGCTAGAGACCACCTGCCACAGGGGCAGCCCCATGTCACCCACCCACCCACCGGACTCTTTGCAGAAAGAAGCAAGCGAGCATCCTTCACGCGTTTCCAAAGGCATCCCCCCTCACCTTCGGCCCAGCCAGCCCCCAACGCGTTTAAACGGGGATTCCTCACTTCCCTAATCCAACACCACCTTCTCTCCTCCCTCTGGGTGCATATCCACACCAGAGGCTCCCCACCACGGCTTGCGCAGCGGCGGGTCGGCCGTTGGACTTAAAGGTTGTTCCTTCTTTCGGCCTCCAGCCAGCCCGCTTTCTCGCGCCAGGTTGATTACCTGAAGCAGCTGCTCTGTTAGCGCAGCAGTACAGGATGGCGACGGTCAGGATCACCCCGCAGGTGGAAACGGAGCCTCGGAGCAGCCCCTTCATCCCTAAGAAGAGCAAGGTGGGCGAATCGCAGAGGCGACGAAAGGCAGCAGCCACTTTGGCTTCTCCCGGGAAAAGTGTCCCCCGCGGGCGCTTCCCGAGCTCTTGAGTTACATTCCCCGCTGGGTGAACTTCTGGGTCGTTAGGGCGATGATTGGCGGAGGCGAAAGGCCAATCCCGTCTTTTTCCGCCTCTCTCGTCTCTCGAAGAGCCCCGGTCTGGTTGGAAGAATGCAAGCCGCGGGCTGGAAAATCCCGGGCAAAGTAGTGCGAAGGGCGGGAGAAATCGAAAGAGAAAGCTGCTCGGCGTGGCTGCGACCTTTAGCAGCGGGGGATTTTTCCCCACCCCCCACCCCCCAGTGTTTTGAGAAGAAATCACGCCTCATAGTCCTGATTGGGAGAAAGAAGGAACAATACAATATGTTGTTCCTTTTTAAGGTGCGGTAAGACAGCCCTAAAACAATGCAACCGGCCCTGGAAACTTTAACAACAGGAAGGAAACAAACATCGAATTAGTTCGAGCGGCGTTTCTCAACCTCAGTCACTTTTGAGGCGTGTAGATTTCCGCTTGTAGAATTCCCCGGTCAGGTGGTGTCCCACACACCATAAACGTTGCTCAAGTTAAGACCCCTGAGTTAGGGGGACTCTGCATAATCCATGGGGGATGGAGGTGGGTAGGAATCAAACCTTTAAACACCCAGTAGGGGGCTTTGCAGGGCTTTAATAATGATAATGAAAAAGAGAGAAAGAAAAGGGTATTAAGTGACTGGGATCCGTAAGCTGTGCTCCACCACTTCAGTTTTGAGCAAGGGGGTGGGTGGGACTGAGGAAAAATAATACACCAATATAATAGCCCTGCAGTCCACTTTCAACAGAGCGGGCTGAGAAACCACTTTTGTTCGATAAATTCTTATTGGGAAGCACCATTTAGAACAGGGGCCTTCAAACTTGGCACCTTTAAGACTTAAGACTTGTGGACTTAAGTCTTAAGTCCACTGCCAGCCAGCATAGCATAGAGTTGAAGTCCACAAGTTTTAAAGTTGCCAAGTTTGGAGATTCCTGATTTAGAAGCAACTCTTTTTTTTTTTTTTTTTTGTAAATTTTATTTGAGTTTTCACAAAAAGAACAAATAAAACATCTTTTTTGAAAACAGCATGATCCCAGGTTACATTTCTTCGTGCAGACACAAATTCAAGTTCATGCTCATTTTTATATTCTATTCCATATCTTATTACTATTTTACATTTTCTACATCCCGAGATGAAATAAATAAAAATTAAATTGAGAAAATTAAAAGAGGGGAGAAGCCATGTAGAAGCAACTCTTACAAAAATGATCTTTTTCCACATTTATTATTTAAAGTTGCCTTTAAATCTGCAAAACCTGGGGCGGTTTGTTAAAACAATGAAATCATTGAAATGTCAATTGAAAAGTGAGGTCTCAACAGAGACAACATGAAGAATCAAGCATTGACATATCTAAAAAGCTCATAAAAACAATTTTTTGAACCATTTATTTCTCAGTAAAGATAATTTGAACCTCGCTGGGACACCAGGATTGAAAATAATCTGTTTAGTAGCAACCTGCTTCTTGGAGGAAAGGCAGGAGGCATTCACAGGAAACAAGCCTTCGAAGATCATTGTCACGGATGAAGTTTAATATTATGTATAAGTATAGTTTGCCATATTTAGTATACTTCTATACTAAAAGTATAAAAGTAGAGAATCCTAACAGTTTAAAAGTCAATGAGATCATTTTTGAACTATGTTCAGAAACGAATTGTTCACTTGTTTTTACACAAGAAGATAAGATTTTAAAAATGGGAGAGTTACTCCCAACCCACCTCAAGGGGTAGTTATTGTGAGCAAACTAGGAGGCTGGACCATCATGTGTGCTGCCATGAGTTATACAAATTAAAGATGAAATATACAGGTAGTCTTCAACTTCTGACAGTTCATTTAGTGACAGAAATTAAAACGGCATTTTAAAAAGTGACTTATGACCATTTTTCACACTTATGAATGTTGCAGCATCCCCATGGTCACGTGATCAAAATTCAGATGCTTAGCAACTAACTATATATTTATGACAGGTTCAGTGTCCCGGGATCATGTGATTATCTTTTACGACAGATTCACTTAACAACCATGTTATTTACAACTGCAGTGATTCATTTAACAACTATGGCAATCAAGATCATAAAATGTTTTGCTTAGCAACAGAAATTTTAGGCTCAATTGTAAGTCAAGGACTACCTGTAATGAAACCAAAACTATAATACTACAGTATTATAATACAGTGGAATCTTGGGTCATGAATGCTTCTGTTTGCGACCAAATCGGGTGATGACCAAAAAATCCACCCGATTTTTGATTCGGGTCATGATTCAAAAATCGGGTGGCAAACAAAATTGGCATGGAAAGATTCCCTTTCCATGCTGATTTCCCCTTCGGCGCCATTTTTTTTGTTTTTTGTTTGTCCACACGTGCAGACGGTCGTGCTTCCGGTCATGATCAAATCGGGTTGCGATCATAGTCCTGGAACAGATTATGCTCGCAACCCGAAGTTCCACTGTACCCCAATCAAGAAACTTTCAAGCAAGTCAAATAAGCCAAACAACCTCTAAGACCACCCAACAACCTCTAAGACCACCCCCATCAACACTGACAATTCAAGGCAGTAGGACAGGGTTGTCAAACTGAATTTCTTTGAGGACTGAATCAGCATTGTAGTTCTCCACGGGCTGGTGATGGTGGGGGAGACAGGATGGATGCCTCCTGCAGCACCCTGCCAGCCAAAATGGGGCACAGGGACCTCGTATGGCCCCCACGCCCTGTTTTTGGCCTGGACAGCCTCCTGCAGCACTTTGCTGGCCAAAATGGCATGGGGCCGCATGAGGCCCCCGTGTCCCGATTTCAGTCTGGACGGCTTTCTGCAACACTTCGCCAGCCAAAACGGGGCACCTAATTTGGGTAATGAAATGTCTGCAAGAAAACAACCAAGCTCAGAGAGCACCAAGAACCCCTCATTTCAACCGAGCTAGCAATGTTCTTTATTGATGCTACAGTAATTGAATTAAAACTATAAAGATTTACCATTGCTATCAATAAACTTTAATTCAGTCATTCACTAGCAAATGAAAAACCAGAGTTGCTTTTGTACTGCGAGATGGGCAGCCGTATAAATAGTTTAAAATAAATTGTCCCATTTGATGAACAAATTACAATAATTACCTAAATATACAATACGTTGGATTATAGTTTAACAGGAAGGCTCTAACCTAGCATGTCTAAACTTTCAAACATTTAATGCTCCTTAAGTAGTCTTGTAATATAATATTCAGAATAAAATGGTTTTCTTGTGAGATGGAAAATAAAAATCTAATCATGAACTCTATATGCACAAGAGGACAAACATTTTACTCCTTATGGAGCTCTTAATATGAGAGAAACTAAAAAACAGCTATTTGCTGTAATGCACAATTACATTAGGAATCAGAATGCTTGTTTACAGAATGCAAAAAAAAAAATCCAATATGACATTTTTCAATTCAACAACCATTTTCCATTGCAATTTCTCTATAAATCAGTATGTTATTGCAATGCAGTCAAGAGAAAAAAATGAAAGTAAGGATGTCCTTGGATAATTTGTGTTTCAAAAACCCTTGCTGAGAAACCTGGGTGGGTTTAATGCAATAAATCTCAATTCTTTATATTTCTTTAGCCCAGGTGTTAGGCACTATCTCCTTTTCCAACTTTTCAGGGTTGTTAAGGAGATTTCTTGAGGCTTTTGTAGGAAGGACAGGATAAAAACACTTTTGTTAGTTGCATCAGTTGGCAATGTCCAATGGATCTTAGCTGACCTCAGGAAAAAAAGAAGCCAGCAAAGTTGGACCTGACATTAGTACTTGAATGGGAGGCTATTAGGAGAGCCATGGCAGTAAATTATACTAGGTAGTCAAACAAAAATTATTGGAAAAGTTTGGATGGACTGTTTCCCTATTACGGAAAAATTTCCAGTTATAAGAATATCATGGGGTGTGAAGTGCAGATCATCAAGACCTGAGCTGAACATTAAACAAGGCTTTTATAGTAGCAGTAGCTTTGTAAAAACAGCACTTACTTATATAGCACTTCACAGTCTCCTCTAAGCAGTTTACAGAGTCAGCCTATTGCCCCCAACAATCAGGGTCCTCATTTGTACCGACCTCGGAAAGATGGAAGGATGAGTCAACCTTGAGCCTGGTGAGAATCGAACTGCCAAATTGCAGGCAGCCGCCAGTCAGCAGAAGTAGCCTGCAGTACTGCATTCTAACCACTGCATCACCGTGGCTCTTCGTATTCATTTTGACCTCCCTTAATAGTGGTAAATATTTCATTCCACTTGTAATATTTTCAATTTATTTATTTTGCATTTCTTTGTCATTCCACAGATTCAAGGTGCTTCTGTCAGATCAGCCCAAAGTTGTGCGGTTCATTTCACTTGGTGAGAGGTAACTCAGATAATCACAGAAAAATGGATGGGAACATCTTAAAAACTTTTATTTCTGCAAAGTTACAAGTATTCCTCGACTTAGGACCACACACTTGAGCCCAACATTTTGGTTGTTAAGCAAGACAGTGAAGTGAGTTTTTTCCCCTTTTTACAACTTTTTTTTTTTTTGGCACAGTTCTTAAGTGAATCACTACAGTTTCTAAGTCAGTAACATGGTTGTTAAGAGAATCTGGCTTTCTCATTGATTTTGTTTATCAGAAGGTCACAAAAAGTGATCACATGATCACACGGCACTGCAATTTTTCATAAACATGAGACAGTTGCTAAGCTTCCGAAATTCTGATCAGGTGACCACAGAGATGCTGCAATGATGATAAGTATGAAAAACAGTCATAATTCACTTTTTTTCAATGGTAACTTTGGTTGCAAGTCGAGGACTACTTCTATTTACACTCAGGATCAGGGATGGGATTCTGCCGGTTCAGCCCAGTTCGGGCGAATCGGTAGCTCCAAGGATCATCTGTGAGTGAATCGGTTTGCTCCAATGAATGAGCTGTTGGGCCTACCCACCCGCCCCGGCTCTATTCTGACCTTTATTTCCTGGTTTTGAAGCTCAGCTGCTTCGCGCGACACAGTGGATTGCCGTGCATCAGCTGTTTAACACAAAGGGAGATTGCAGGATTGCAGAAGAAAGTCACATACCCCTGCTCAGGATTAATGTCTCAAAGCAAGCACGCCACATCTCACAATAGGTATTTAGACAGATCATACATCATACTACCAATTCTCTGCGACTCACTAAATTTATCTATT